CAGATCATCAGGCTAAAGCCACAGCTAAGAAAGTGATCATTTTAGGAAGAACTTTTAATGTCCTTTAATGGCCTGTTAAATCACAATTAATGACCTCTAAGCTCAAGGAGATAATTCTGCCATTAAAAAGTTAGTTTGGAATAAAACAAAAGTTATAGTCTTAAAAAAAAAGTAATAGATCTAGATTTTGCTTTTAAAGATATTTTTTATTGCTAGGACTGGGGAAGTCAGGCTGTTTTAGGATAAGCCAATCCCTTCTTGTCATCGATCCATCAATGCCATCAAAGTTAGTAGTCCAATACAGCAGTATTCTACCACAAAATAATCTCAATTATTTCACCTGTTTTGTATCCCCAACATCCAAAATAGTGCCTGGTACTAGAAGGTGCTGAGTAAACATCTGTTGAATGAATTAACTATCTCCAAGGGGCCCCGTAAATGCTCACGACTGGTGGATAATCTAACAAAAGCCAAAAAAGAAACTGCTACTGGAGAACACAAATGAGAAAGCACTCTAGTGTGCAAATGCCAACCATGACTATACGCATGCTTTACTACTAATGTGCCCTGCATTCATAAACATAAGGGTAAGAGAAGGGCCCTGGAGTCAGACTGCCCTAGTTTAAATCCTAGCACCACCCCTTGTCAGCTATGACCCTGAACAAAGTACTTAGCTTCTCTGGGCCTTTCCACATCTAAACACAAAAAAGGGAGGTAATAGTAGTGTCCACTGCATAAGATAGTTGAAAGGATAAAATGAGATAAACAGTTTCTGGGACACTTAAGTGCCTAATAAATATTTATAATTATTAAGTTTTTTATTTTGACATATACCCACAGTCATATCTCTGGAAAGAATATAGGATGATAGGTTCACTTCTCCCCACCAAAAGAAATGGCCTTAAATGAGGACCACACCATTAAATGCATTCTTTTTCCTGAGGGATTAATGGGAAGAAAAAAAAAAAAAATCAGCTCTTAAGTCTGGATTTTTTTTTTTGACTGGTCTCAATCTTCATCTCTCTTCTTGCCTTTTCTTCCCATGTTTTCATAAAACCCTTTCTGAGCTCCTGTGAACCTGGCTTAGCCACTGCCCGGAGACAGCTCTTAACTCTGCCCTGCAATTATGCTCCGGCCCTGGGCAGGACATTTAACTCTGTGGGGCCTCATTTCCACATGTGTACAACAGAGGAAGAGAACAGAGGTTGAGCAGATTAAGTTCTCTTTCAAATCTAAAACTCTACAAATAAGAAATTGACAACTATTATTAGTACATTCGAGTCAAACACTTTAACCATATTTGGAATACCACACAAATATGGGCACAAGTACAGCAGACTCTAAAAGCTGAATTTTTTCTGTTCTTACTTTCTGGGAACAAACACACTAGTACAATGAAGTTTTTATTCAACTCCCTTATCACAGAGGAACGGACTCTTATCAAATCAGAACTTTCTCTAAGACCACCTAATGGTCCTTTACTTACAAGCTTCCGGGTACAGGCACTAAGCATTTCTAATCACTATAAATTACCAAACCAGTGCTTAAATCTCAAGGTAACTGAGCAGAAAGCTGGCAGTTTTGAAGAATCAGTACCAGAGATGACTAACTAGAAAACCATTTAACAGTCATACTACTTTCTTTGTGCTACCTAACATTTCCCCATCACACTAAATCTCTCTGTTGAGGAAAAGAGGTCAGATTAAAATGATGTTACAGGTTAACAATTGACATGGAAAGATATTTACAATATACATTTCTGGTGAAAAGGCAGATTACAAAATAATATGATCAGCAATATTAATCCCATTGGTAAAAAACATACGCATATACCTACATACATATCTTATAGGATATACCTCCAAGTTGTTTTTAAGCTTATAATTTTCCTGTAAAAAAGTTGTTTGCATATTTATATTTTATTTTTCAACAGTAAACACTTACACCTCCTAAAATAATTCAAACAGCTGTTTTATCTAACAAGAAAAATGGATCTGGTACCCAAACTATCACCAGATGCCTCACTGAAGTGGAGCTCGGCACCCAGCGGTTCCCCAGCACAGACATCCTTTGCATCTTGTACCTGGGGCTAAGCTGGGGCGGGGTGCTGAGATGTTTTAGGTACCAGCCATCAATTACCAAAAGATAGGCCCAGATTTCTCCACTCTGCTCACTTCAATTTTCAGAGCCATCAACTCCCCGCTTACAAGCTTTACCGATTTGGATGTAACCCTCTGGGCAGAGTTTACAAAACTGACCAAAGGTCCTATATTATAGTTCAAGATTTTAACTCTCACATTCATTGATTAAGGAGAATCAACGACAGAAGAGCTCAAGTTACTCTCGCAGAGATCCAATTTTAAAAGTTGGAGCTATTATCCCTCATTGGCTATTTAATGACAATCCTTTCTTATCGTAAGAAAAAAAAATAAGCCATCATGTTTAAAAGCATCATCTTCAAACACGTTACCCAGTTAAGCACTTTTGTTTTTCACGCAAAGTGCTGACTCTTGATAGACTCTTTGGCATATTCAAGACAGCCACTGTTGACCTTTCCAAGATCTGATCAGCCAAGAACAAGTTCATCACCAAGCACAGGTATCATTACACTGTAAGGTATAAAGATTGTTCTGGCAGCTCAAAGACCTATCAGAAAAAAAGATGTCTGAGAAATCGCAATTTCCCAGCAGATGAAAGCAAAGTACGTACAAAGACGTGATAGGAAGACACACACCCAAGGCAGTAAAGATAAAGGCAATATAAGGAAAAGCAGAAACAGCAGAATGAGTCTTCAGAAACATGTTCTGAAGAACTCTTCCTACCAAGTAGCAAGAGAAGGTCACCAGACCCAGTGCTCTCAGAAGTACATACGCTGCATGCACACAAAGCTGCTCTCATGCATCTGCAATAATGGGATATCAAGCAAAGGCTATATACATAAAACCAATTTGCCTTCTCACCCTCTCATTCACTTACTTTTAAAAACCAACCACAATTTAGGTCAGGGCCTTATCCTCTGTTACAAAATATATTTGAAGACAGAGTACGACAAAGAAGCATAGCATCGGAATCACATCATAAATTATTTAAATGTCTAACCACTATGCTGTACACCTGAAACTAATATAAAATACTGAATGTCAACTGTAATTGAAAAAAAATACCTATCTATATATAAAAGACACATATTATCTATGCAGCATTAATTTATTGCAAGAAAAAACTGCCAACTCTAAGGATCTGAAAAATGTGACCACTCAGGCTTATTTTGGACCTGAACCACTCCCCTTCCCTAATTATCCCTCAAAGGAAATATATCAGGCTCTGTGGGCAAAGAGGGAAAACAAGTCTAATTACAACATGTGCACTTGGTGGATGAAAAATCTGAACATTCTTGAACTCTGGCCATGTTTCAGAACACTTTCCACTTGTAGTGTAGCCTCACAGAAGAGGAAAGGTTAAAGATCAGTTGTACTTCCACCAGCCTTCAATGGAAAAAGACACAAAGAGAAACTGACCACATTACTTACCCAAGCTACTACTAAAGGAAGCCAGCTGAAAATTCAAGATGACCCTGACTCCTTATTAAGCATTTACAAAGGAAGAGGAAGTGGTTTTTATTTTTAAATTAGAACTAACAATAAGACTCAATTCAAGAGTACTCTTGACTGGAGAAAATACACATTTTTAATTTAAGTTACATATGCAAAGGCTTCAGGCCCCAGGTGGTCTTACAGATGCATTTCTGGCTCAAAACCTCTCACCCACAGCCCACCTGCCTTTGCTTTACAGAGATGGGAAGACAGCTGAAGACAATGAGTTTGGTAGGTGCTTCTGCACAGTTGCTCATTAAAATGCAGGAAGAGAGAAGCAGAACACCTCCAGTAATCCCAAATGAGAATGCATCTCATTAGGTATTTGGATTGAGAGCTATTGCTCAAGAAGCCCTCACCATGGGCTACAAGTTGTAACCTCTCCAGCTTCCCCTCCTATGACTATCCCCGTCACCCACCGGGCTTCAGAAGGCCTGGCTTCCTTGATGCTGCTCCAACATTCCAGACTATTTCCTCTACCAGCACTATTTTCCCCTCAGATCCCAGGCATCCTTCAAGTCTTTCTCAAATGCCATCGCTGCAAGGAGAAAAAAGGTGATACTTCTCCCCATATTTATCACCTTCTAATATATCATACAATTTACATATATCTACTTATCTACTGTTTATTCCTCTCTCAAATAAGCTTCAAGAGAGCAGCGATATTTTTGTTCATTGATGTATATCCCAAGCGTTTAGAACAGTACCTGGCACAGAATAGGAGCTCAAAAATACTTTCTGAATGAATGAACTTGACAGTAAAACTCCAGGAGGAAAGCAAGAAGGAGTGGAAAGGGTAATGATTAGTGGGTGAATTGAAAGGAGGAGAAAGCGACAGAGGAGAAGTCACAGGGGAGAGTGTGAAGACTGTGAGGCCGGGGCCGACCCATAGTTTCTCCCTGCAATGCTACTGGGAGGCGAGAGGCGGTGCACCGGATCCCGCCAGCGGCATCGAATAGTACTCTTAACAGGAGGCAGTTGAAATAAGCAAGCTCGGAAGACTCACTGAAAAATTACAAGGGTAGACTCACCCCGGCGGCGGGCTCCCGGCAGGCCCCACAGGGGTCTGAACCACCCAACCCTTCCCTTCCTGCGGTGCCCCGAACCCCAGCTCCTCCAACGTACCCAGGATGTCCGGGGCCGCAGTACCTTCCCGGCTCGGGCCCCTTCACCTGGACGCCAACAAGTCGGGCCCTGCGCTCGGGCACCTGCCTGCCCGCGCCGGGGGTCCCCACTCCGACCCCTAGGAGGCCCCAGCGCGCCCCTGCGGGCCTCGTCCGGCCCGGTTCCCCTCCAGCACACGGGCAGGAAGCGCCTGCCTCCCTCTCTGCAGCGGGGAAGGGGATCGCGGCACCCCTTACCCCGGCCACTCCAGCCCGAAGCCCCGCCCGCACGGCACCCCCTCACCTCGGGGCGCACGTACGACACGAAAGAGGGCTTGGGCGCCTTGGTGCCGCCGCCACCGCCGACTACCCCTTTCCCCAGCATACCACCGCCCTGGGAAGCAGCAACGCGCGGGAAGAGACGCGGTCGCTCAGGCTCCGGCAGCGGCGGTGGCCACCAGCACAGGCGGCTGGGGCTCCGCCCATCCCCAGGGCCGCGCGGGCCGCGGCACCGCCCGCATCCGGCTCCTCTGCTGACACCACTCGCCCCGCCCAGGCCCAAGGCCCCGCCCACTCAGCACGAGTTGGAAGGCCACGCCCCCTGCACTCTCGGCCGGCTAGTCTGACGCGCGGAGATTCGCCTACCGCGGTAGGATCTACTTCACCCTCGACAAAGCCCGCCCCCTGTGTTTTCTCATTGGCCAGAAGCGCTGACGGCTGAGCCCCAACGCCAAGCCCCTTCTTGAATAAACCCGGAGAGATGTTGCTTCTGACCAATCCAAAGAGCGTTCTCTCCGGACTCTCCGGCCATTGGATAGCAAAAATGTCGCCGTCGTCCAATGATCCTGCGGTCACTAAGTAATAAGCAGTGGTTCCTGGCAGTCGTTCACTCGTTCCTTGTCCTTTTGGAAGTAGGTATATCGAACCTCTTCTCCCCGTATGAGTTCCAAGTCCACATTAATGACTTTCGGCTTTATTATTTTAAATATGGACAAAACCAAGGATAATATTTGATTATAAAGGGCCTTGTGGATCTCATTTTCCCAACTCTTTTTTGTTTTGTGTTTTTAACAATATCAAAAGCCCTGAAGAGACTTCTCTTATCCACTCTCAAAAGTTACCGATTAAACCCTCATTTTTAGTGAAGGTCGCGAAGAAAATTCATTTAAATAACACATCCGGCGCCAAACATTGCGTTAGAGATGAATAAGAGTACACAGCTCTCAAGAAATTCAGCGTAATGGAAAACACTAATGTTTGCAGTTAATTTTTTCAGTCTCGGGCACTGGGCTAAGCATTAGTCTCATCAGGAGCTAATACTCTTACCTTCTTCGTTACAATGAGCGTCCCATCATCACCGCTCCTCCCAAAGAAACTCCAAATAAAATTAAGTGAAATTGAATGTGCTTATTTTCTCAAACAATATCAAGACAAGTCTTGTAGCCTCATTTTCAACTAAACTGCCATTGTTAAACCTATCCAATATATCGGCACTGGAGCCACCACTGAGCTGCGTTAGCCTCGTTTTTGGATGAAGAAAACAAATGCAAGTAATTCTCCCAGTTCACACAACTCATCACTCATTGACAGAGCTGGGATTCTAGCCCAGATTTGTCTGATTCCAAAGTTCAAGTTCTTAACGTTATAAGTATACAAATTAGGAAGGAACACAATGAAAGCCTCTCGATTCCATTTGGGAAGGCCAAGTCAGGCTTCATAAAGTAAGACACTTCTAAATTGATATAGAAGAAGTTATTTATGAGGGCTAAAAATACCACTTTATATTTCACAGCAGTTTATACTTTGCAAAGTGAAATGGCAAGGCAGATTTTTACACTCTGAGCAAATTTTTACTTTCCTAAGTTCTTTTTCAAAGAACTCTGAGTTTCCATTATCTTTTACTATAGTCAGTATGGCCCGGGCTGGCTTCTTGGACATGCAGCTAGTGCAGACACATAGGGCCTGCACTTAAAAGGGCTTAAGGTTTAATTATCTGTGATTAGGGCCTTGAAATTGTAAATCATTATATATCTGAATTTCTGTTTTTTTAAGTGAAGTTTGATGAGACAATGGAGCAAGCCCAGGGGTCCTTCAAGCCTCATTCCTGCAGGGTTCCACTTCCCATCCTCTCCCTACCCGTTCTTAGGTGCCGCACTATGCTCTGGCACCCTCGCCCTCCCTAGCCAAACCTAAGACTGCTGCCAACCTCTGTCAGGGCAGCAACCCAGCCTCATTGCTGGGGAGTCTCGTGTTCCACCATCGCCATCCACACCTCACCCCTATGCACCAACCAGGAGATGATCAGGGTCTGGCACAGTCCCATGACCAATTCCCATGTCTCAGGGTGGGGTAAGTAGCCATCTCTACCCTAGGCTGGCAGCAGCATGCCAACTGACCAGGGCTTCTCGCCCACCCCCATTTAGATACTGAGGGGTGGCCAGACACATAGGCTTCAATCCCTTGGGAGTCATCCATACCCTGTGGGAAAGGGAATTGAGTTCCCTGCCCCAGGCCAGGACCCTACATTTTCATTTTGCACTGGGCCCTGTCAGCTAGCCCTGCCTACACCCTTTATTTGTGTTCTTGGGCAAGTTACTTTATCTCTCTGTGCCTGTGTTTCTACCTAGGATGATAGGAACAACAATAATAATTACCTCATGTGTTAGAGGATTGTTTTGAAGATTAAATGAGGTATCCAGGTAATACCTGGTAGGCAACAAAAACTGAATAAGTCTGGCTGTCCTTCATACAATCCCACCAAGCGGGACAGAATTTATCCTTCACCTAGACTGTAGAAAGAGAAGCAAAGTGACTTTTCTCAATAATAAGCTGTGGGACTTTGTTAAACAAAGAGGTTTCATTTGTTTGTTTTGTTTTTAACTCCTGGTCTAATCCTTGGATTAGAAATAATGGCTTTTATTTCTAATCTACCATACTAAATTTTCCTCCCTTTAAACTATCCTGTGTTATAATAATGACTTTATCCTGCTCTTCGGCAGCCAGTTGTTTTGTGATGTGTTGAATCTGGAAACTTGACACAACTACCGCATCCACACGTGGTCAGAAAACTATAGCCAACAAGTGAGGAAAGTTTTTAAAGACTAAAAGGCCGGCTCTTTCCAAGGTCAGTTTTGACTCAGTGATGAAAACCCATACCTTCTTTAAGGAGCAGTAAGGGAATGAGGATAGAGAACAGGCTAACATCTGTTTCCATCTTGCTCTAAGGTTCTCCAACTACCAGCATATTTTTACTTAATCTTTAGGGTGTGGGTCAAAACTCCTTAGGAGAGTCTCTCTCGACTGATTGAAAAATTCCTGTCATGTTGAGGCCAAATAATTCTCCATCTATTAATAAACACAGATAGTGGTAGCCCTTAGACTTCGAAATATTTTAATTTACACACACAAGTTTAATGTCACTCTTTTCTCTTAATGCTGGCCGAAGCTTTCTTGGGGAATTATAAATAGGAACAAGTCAAAGCTTAGCACCCATAGAAACAAGTGCCAGACCAAAGGCAGTGTGATTTCTTTCCACAGACAACTGAAACCCACAGCGCATTCCCAGATGCGGAGAAACATTCTTCTGGCAGATAGCTAAGCCTGGCCATTCACATTTCCTCCTCTTTGGAGTCACTTGAAGCAGCCTACTTGTGTGTGTTAGTCATCTTTGTCTAACAGGTGCCAGGAGTGTAGTAGAAATTCAATAAATATTTGCACCTCAGTGAATGAAATAATAGTAGATGAAAAGCAGCCTGATTAGTAAGCAAGGGAAGCAGCAGTTAAAACTCTAACATGCAGGTTAGAGCCTGCACTTTTAAATCACTTGGATACAAATTAGGACCTGATTATAAAATAAATAAATAGATAAATAATTATATATGACATATTATATAATACATAATTACATAATAGATTCTAATTTATCATTATAAATACATATTATATATGTATATAAAATAGTCAAGGACTAAAATGTGTTAAAGGCCGCTTGCCCAACTTCAGTTTTGGTCAACAGTCCGGATCTGAAGATTTGCCCTCTTTTTTCACTGGAAATAGAAAGTTCCTTGGCCTCTTGCCTCAACCATGGGTCTTACAACCCTCTTCTGAAGATGGTGAGGAACAGACCTGAATTAAGAAACATCTGGATTGTTCCTAGTCTTATGGTACCATGACATGAGGGCCCACTGGGGAGACTCAGCAGTTGTAAACAAGGACTTTCTGATGATTTTTTCCCCTTTGCAAAACACACAATTGAAACTGCTCACGTGATACGGGGCTTGGTGAGCCTTCTCTAGGCTGTGACTCATCTCCCAACTTCTTCCAATAAAACCGGAAGTTCTGGAGAGCAGGGATGGTCTCAACTACAACTAGCACTTAAGCATTCATTGGGTGCTACACTATTAAGTGAACTCCAGGGAGGGCAGGAGAAACAGGGATTCTCATCATTACTGGGGGTGGGTGGTACATTGATGAGCAAGGGGGTGGGCAATTTTGCAATATCCGTCATATATTATATTAGGAATTTCACTTCTAAAAATTTATCCTACAGATCCATTTATACAGGTGAAATGCTTTATGTTCAAACTTACTTACTGTAACAATTTTTGTAACAGCAGATTAGAAAAATACTAAATATCTATCAATAGGGACAGGTTAAACAAATTACAGCATGGCCATGAAATAGGATACTACGTGTTTGTAAAAAAAGAATGAGAAAGTTCCCTAAGTAGGGTCTGGAACGTTAGGTGGTTAAAAGCAAATATTCTGGAGTTGCACTGCCTGGTTCAAGTCCTGGCTCCACTAGATGTGTGACCTTTAACTATACATTTATCTTCTTGAATCTCAATTTTCTTGCCTGTAGACATGAGGGTTATGAGGATTATAATGGCACCTACCTCATAGGATTATTGCGAAGATTAAATATAAAGTGTTTAGAGCATTGGCACATAAGGTATGGGAGCCAAGATATATATTCAGTGATTAAAGCAAAGTGAGGAATGGTATGCAAAGTAGACTACCATTTGTGTAAAAAAGGATGGAAATAAAGACTACATATATCTAGCTCTTTATGTTTACATGGAACATCTTTGGATAGATACAACGGGAACATTAGTTCCCTTTTAGAAGGGAATACTGGGTGTTAGAAGGAAAGATTGAGAGAAGAGTTTTTACTCTATACTTTACCTTTGGATTTCGAACCATGAGAATTATTACCTATCTCAACAATAAATATATTAAAAAATTACACACATACACATATACATACCTATCTCATGTAGGTTTTTTTTTTTTTTTTTTCTGGTTGTTAGTTAAGGTTTTATTGAGCCAAAATGCTAGCCAAAAGACTGGTCTTGGGGCATGGTATCTAAACCACCAGCAGCATGGCTACATAGAAAAGATGTCATGTCATGTAGTTTTTCTTTTCTTAATTGAGGCAAAAGTCACATAACATAGAATTAGCCATTTTAAAGTGAACAATTAAAATATATCACATTTTAATTTTAAAACGAAAGCCT